GTAGTAAATTCTATGATTTAAACCGTTATAGTAAAGGTCCTTGTCATTTCTCTGATGATAGTTATGGTCAGAAGTATGTGACTTTGACATTAGTTAACTGTACATGAAATATTACCTTCTCCGCTTACATAATGCGCGTAGTATTCTAATATATAAGGTATACTATTATAATAAAAATTATAGCGTGTCATATTATTAATGCTATTTAATTAGCGTAACCAAAATGCAATTATATTTTACCTACCCACTTAAGTGTGAATATCCATGACCTATGTTTAGACAAGTTCAAGATGTTTAATAGTATTATTAGAGGAAAAACAATGTATGATAAAATTGGCACATACGATACCTCCACAACTTTGTCTTGCATCCTCTATAGCTCCATTGACCAATTCTGTGCATAGAGCTTTTAATCCCTATAAAAAAAACAAATATATTTATATTAGCCCAAATTATATCAATATTATGAAACTGAAATTATTAACATACCGCAGTAATAGAATGAACCTCTGCCATTAAATTACCATCCGTTTTTCCAATATTTTTTATATAATTTTCGTACAGATTTCGCATGTATATTTTATTAAAAAACGTAGCATATACAAGCGCTAAGCTAGAAAACAGTCTATATTGCTGGTATTGATAATCCAAGATCAAATTTTCGTTGTTTAGATCTTTATAGTTGTCTCCCTGTTTTCTTACTAACGAATATCGAATTGCAATAGTTAAAACTTTTGATAAAAATAACGTAGAGAAATCTACAAGACCTATCCTATTTGATACCAATGTGTCATATATGATTTTTGCATGAGGCGGTGTAGAGTAGTGACCACTTTGAGAAACTTTAGAAAAACGCATCAACATGTTCTCACGTGGAATACGGACTTGAGTAAATCTTAAGAACCCTTTGTTTATGATAAATTATTAAACACTGCAGTTACATATAATCATACTCTTTATATACATACCATTGTCATTATAATTATATCCATATTTTGGTCCAATATCTCCAATTTCAATACCCGGCATGGGCTCATGTCTTTCACCACGCAATTGCACAATAAATGAATGAATGCCATAATCCTTTTTATCAATAATTAGACGTGCAAACACTATACCATGGGTGCTATTAAAATAATTTTAGTTTATAAATTTATATGAAATTTATGCATGCTATAATGTACCGTACCTCGTCCGCGCAAGTGCACCAGGCCACCTGGATATAAACAATAGTTAACTAATTAAGCAAAAATTATTTAAAAAGCTCTAAATTCTTTACAAAATAGTAATTTACCATTTTATTGATGGCAACGTTGGTGAATGGATTTCAAATTCATCCTTGTGTATTAAATTTATTTTTAAAATAAGTTATTTTTCAAAATTCATACAATTCAAGTATTAAATACTCACTGTTTCATGGATGTATGTAGCTGTTGTTTCTAATTTTTTTACATTAGAACCATGACCCAATTCGGTTTGAAGATAGCTGATTAAAAAAAAAAAAAGGAAATATAAGTAATTATTATTTGATTACGTTAAAATAATAAAATAAATTATTAAAATTAAAATATTACCATCCGAGAATTGAATAATCCTTAGCCAAAGAAAGCCATTTAGAGCTTTGTTCTTCAGACATTTGTTTTTCCAAGGTTGGAATAAAAAAAAACTCATGCTGTTAAAATGTACAAATAATTACCATCCCATCTTACAAGAAATAAATAATACAATTAAGATTTTGATATGACAGACAATATACCAGAACAGAAATGCTCATGTCCGATGTAGAAGTAATCAAATAAATCCAATCATCTTTTTGAAGATTATATAACTTTTTCAGTTGCAACATTTTTTTCAATCTTTTTACCATTCGAATATAGTATTGATCCCTTGAGAGAAATGGTCGATCAACATTAGAAAATATTGGGTCATTTTGAGGGTCGACTAAGGAGCGAAGCCATCGACGACGAACTGCAAGTTTGATGAATTAAATTTTTGATCCTATTATTCAAGTAACATTCATCGCAATTCGTACTTTATGATTTATTTATACCTGTATTTTCAGGTCCATCATTTATAAAATGAGTCAATTCCTCTACAGGAAAAGAAACGGCTTTTCTTGCATTTGCTAAATCGATATTAACAATCATCTTTTAGGTATCGACAATGATTAGGGGTACGTACGTACGTACTGTATACCTAATATATTGTCAAATCGTGTAACACAATTTGCCATTCTCAGATTTTCAGAAAGCGAAAGGCCAATCGAATCCTTTTTAAGTTCATTGAGTGAATGCAGTTAGCAAAATCAGTTACGTAATTCCTTTTTAAATTTTAATCTGTACGCAAGAATAACAAAATTATGAATTTCTCTTGTCAAAGTGTATAATTTGCTCCCTACACACATTTAATTCATTAATAAAAATCCTTTAAGTGCACCCAAAATATAACTCTTTTTACATCTGCTAAATACCCCTTGTAATGTACCTCAATAGACGCCTTAGACCACATCAAATCGCAACCACCTCACCCTCTCTATTGAGTAACATTACGCAACGTAGTCCTTGGTCAAGCGATAACGGTCGCTTTTTTCTGGTTTTGTTGGTGGTGAATCTTTGACCACTTCCCCACTAACACTTCCAAAAAACTTGGAATGGACATAAAAAAACATCTTTTGCTAGT